GGCAGCCTGTCTTCTGTCTCCTTGGTCGCTCAGATCCCCGTTGCAGCCTGCTAACACACAATAAAGCCTTCTATGATCTGTCTTCCCAACCCCCTGAAATGAAACCACTGTTTCTTATCTTTCCGTGGCTGGCTACTTGGTGAGCAAATCACTAGCAGCAAGTAAAGATTTGAACTCTGTAAATGAACAATATAAAAATAAAAGTCTGTATGCACCCTCTGGAATTCCCTAAGCCACCCAACCCTTTACTCCAACTTTTTGTGGAAATTATACCCTATCCTAAATGGCTTTTCAGTATCAGAGCTATAGATGGCATGGAGCCCTGCCACATCCCACTTATTAAGATGTATGTTACTTTACTGTGATTTGTGGATCTGCTTGATTTCTCCTAATTTTATGTTTCCAAATTAAGTTCATTAGTTCTCCCTATAAAACCATGATAACTGAATTTCTGCAGCAGTCTGCTTCAGAGATGCATAGTAAATTTCCCCTTCCCTCTCTCCTCCTTTCTCAACTCCTCTGGGGCTTAGCTTTTGCCCACTGCTTCAGCATTTAACACTTGAGAAAGTCAGATTTTAGGTTATTGTCAGGACCTTCATTTTCACTCCCATATTTAAGTAGCTTAGTCTATAAGATACATTTGCAAGATTTACAGTAATGAGCATGTGAGTGAACTTTTTAAGGCTAAATGTAAAAATGCGGTTCAAAATATGCCACCAACAGTCTGGAGTTATTTATTTATTATAGCTATGACAAGCTATTCATTATAGGTACAGCTCTTTATTATAGGCACAGCTCTAGCATTGACCTAGTGAAGATCTTAGGATTTCCTCTGCTTTACAATAATTTCATAAACCAATATGCTTTATTTTTTCATTGTAAATATCATTTAGGAGGGCGCATGAATTAGTTTGGTGGCAAGAACTCAGAATAAAAAGTCGGGAGATACAACTTTAATTTCTGGTCTTATGGTTAGACTCATGTTTTGGCTTAAGGCAGCAAGGTCATCACAATTTGTAAGGAGGGGGTAGATATTTACAAAATGTAAGTGGGGAGGGTACTATTACTGTTTTCATACAAGTGCCAAAGTGCCTGTTGTTCTGTTTTTAAAGGTCAACTTACTTGTGTTGTCTTTCTTTTTTAAGAAGCAAAAAGAAGTAATGCATTAAGACCCTAATAACATGCTATGACTTTCTATACAATATACTCTATTGCTGGGCTCTTGGCCATCTAGCATCAGTGTGTGTATACATTCAGGGGAGGGAGTGTTAGGGTTAGGTGTCTAAGTAGGAGGGCAAGAGGGGAGAAAGGGTTGTTTTACAACATTGAGGACAAATCACCTTTTTCAGTTTCTTAACTTATAAAACAAGAGAAAATCCCTGGACCTATACTGTCGTTTGAAGATTTGTCAGCTAATGGTTGATGATGTATTTAGAAACAAATGTGAGACATATATAAGGTATCAGTTACCCAGCTGAGAACATCTGACATTCCCAGTGACTCTTGACCTCTCATGCCAGATAGGGAAGAGAGCTGTTAGTGCCATCAGGAAGCACACGCACAGATGCACACACACGCACACACCTAATGCTGTTATATAATACCTTTCAGAGTGAGCCATCTGAGCTAACAAGTAATCATGGCAGTTAAAAGAACATATATATATATATATACATATATATATATTTTTTAATGTTTTTATTTCTAGGAGAGAGAGAGAGACAGCGTGAGCAGGGGAGGGTCAGAGAGAGAGGGAGTCACAGGCTGAAACAGGCTCCAGGCTCTGAGCTGGCAGTCAGCACAGAGCCCGACGCGGGGCCCGAACCCCCGAACCGCGAGATCATGACCTAAGCGAAAGTCGGACGCTTAACCGACTAAGCCACCCAGGCGCCCCATAAAAGAACATATTTTTTTTAAAAACCAGAAGTCATTTCTCCTCCTTAGATTTATAGTTTTGATAAAATGCGGTTTTGTTTTTCAGTCCTTCCAGTATTACTTGTAGAAGGTAATGTCAGGTTGCAATTTTGAATCCACTTAGTTTTCTTTCCTCTGAATAATCCTATTTGACAGGCTCCCCTCCGCCCCTTTTTCTTGTCATTAGGAACAGCCTCAGTTTGGTCTGAGTTAATAAGTAGATTAATTGTATAGCTATAGAAACACTACTGCTGTGTTCTGAGAGGTAAAGAAGGGAATTTCAGAAAGGGATCCGTCTTTAGCAGGAATAAATAGACCTAACAACATGTCTGAGCTATAAGGTAATAGTCATCCATTTGTATCACATTAGTGGAATATTACATGTTATGACTTCATTTGTAATTTGAAATACAGAGAGATATTGTTCAAACCTTTTGGTCAGGATCTCAGTCTTCCCAGAATTCTGTTTTGCCTTATCTTTTGGAAAGCTATAAGAGCAGTAAATGCTTATCATCTTGATAGGTTGCCATTTTTTTAAATGTTTATTTGTTTTGAGAGAGAGAGTGCAAACAGGGAGGGGCAGAGAGAGAGAGAGAGAGAGAGAGAGAGAGAGAGAGAATCTTAACAAGGCTTGATGCTGTCAGCACAGAGCTCGATGCTGGGCTGGATCTCACAAACCATGAGATCGTGACCTGAGCCAAAATCAAGAATCGGATGCTTAGCCAACTGAGCCACCCAGGTTGACCCAAAAAGTTGCCATTTTTAATGAAGTTTTTAATTTGGAATTGACAAATATTTTAAAACTTTACACAAAAATGGTGTGTTCACTCTCAAAAGTTATCAAAAAAGACCATTTCTCATAGGAAAGATATGTTTTTTCCATTTCAAAAGAAAATGTAGAAGAACAATTTTGACATGAATTAGTTGATTACAATGGGTGCATGCATTTTCACTATTTTTTCCACAAAGCCCCTTTTGAATTTTCCAGAATTTCAGAGAGTTAGGAAGAGGCATGTGTTACTCCTGGTGAAAAAATGCTATTACAGTATCTAGACATTAAGTGGCTTGCCAAGATCACTAAGTCAAGCAGTGGGACTGAGGAGAAAACAAGAGGTTTCCTGCCTTCCAGATGGAAGCAGGGTGAGATGAGACCAATATATCAGGTGTTTCTAAACAGGAAGAGGGGAGAAACAACCCTTCAAGAGCAAGGTCCTCACCCTCTTTCCACAAAGTAGCTGAAATTTGAAGTTCTTATTTGGGTCCAAGAAGGCAGGGTAAATTTTACATTAAACAGTAAGGCTGCCTGTGAGAGAAAAGCCTGGGATTTACTTCTTGAATAGGTGTTTCCTTCAGGAGCTACTACTGCCTCTTCAGCATCATCTGCAAAGCTTCAGTGACTGAGGGCCAGGTGGAGAAACTTGAGACCTTTGTGCTGCCCTCCCTCTTCCTTGAGGATTGAAAACTACTAACACGTTGGAACATCTCACCAACTTTTTTTTTTTGACGGGGTGGTGTCGTGGTACTTCAGGGTGCAATCAAGTCAAAACAGAGTCAGTTTTCCCCAGGGAGCCCTGAGGGGGGTGGAGGGAGTGGTCACAGTGATCCTCAAGGCACTTACAGCTTGCTTGTCTCTCACGTACTCCCTGAGTCAGGAGCCATCACTGTGGGTCACTATCTCTCTGAAATCTGTGGTAATAGACCACCTGGGGCAAGTGGTTGTTCAACAACCCAAAGAGAATAGAGGATGAGGAGGGAGGGAGGTGCTGAAAGGGACAAACAACAGATTCACAGGGTTTGTGTAGCTGATCCCATTTTCCCACCTTAGAAATTCTACCTAGAAAAGCAATGACTAGATTCCATTTGACCACACCTGGTTTCCGAAGATTAGAGAGGTAATTTAGGAGATAGGAAGTGTCTCTCCAAGGTTTGCTGGAAAATCCAATTCTGGTTATTCAGTAGCTTTCATTCGGTAGCTTCCTGTTGCCCTTGCAGTAGGACATTTTCTGGAGGAGGAAGCTACCTAGAGAAAGTGTAAAGCCTTTAACATGATTTATGAAGCCCATCCCCCTCCTTACTTAGGTGTTTCTCTAATTAACTCTCTGCCAACCCCAGCCCTCCCCCCTTGCACACTCAGACACACTCAAGGCTCCAAATTATTTGCAGTTTCCCAAACCTAACCAGGCTCCCTTACTGACACCCCTTCCTTCCTGGGGGTTATCTTCCCCAATCTGTCCTTGTTTGCCTACAAATATCAACCAGTTTATCTTTCAAGACTTAGCTCAAGCTTCACCTCCTCTGGAAAGCCAAAGCTGGTCACCACCACACTAATAAGACTGACCATTTTACTTTTACACCCCCATATAGCTCAATTGATTATGCCTATTTGTTTACAAGTCTGTATTCCCTGGCTAGCTTGTGAGCGCCCCTGGGGTGGAGCCTCGGTTCTTTCAGTCTCTTGAAAAGAACACTAGTGTCCCACTACTTAAATATGCTTGTTGAGTGAATGATTGTCAATATTGTCTACTGCGTTCTGTCTTCCTAGATAGAACAATCCATAGTTGCAGATTTTTTAATGAAGAATTTGGGAGAATGGAATGGAATGGTAGGATTCTGGAAACTCAAAGTCCAACTCTGATTTTCAGGCAAGTTTTTGTCATGGTGGAACAAATTCACTGCATGAGAAACATTCTCTCTGCTAATTATAATGAACAACATTTAAGTCAAGTCCTAGCTGTTTGGACTTGTTAGCCAAATACTAACTGTTTGGAAGGAATTTATTCCTTCTTTTTTTTTTTTTTTTTTGGACTATTTTCAACTCAGATAAATATAATCCAGGGAATTTTTAAGACAATACTGATGCCTGGATCCTACCCTGGATATTTTGCTTAAATTGGCCTGGAGTAGGGCCTAGATTTATGATTTTTAAATTTACCAGGTGATTCTAATGTACAAACAGGCTTGAGAAACACTACTTTAAGAGAACTTATCCAGGACTAGGCTTACATAGCCTCTACATATTGACAATTACCAACTTTATAGGTTCAGCTTAAACCTAATGGGTATCTTCACCTCTCCATGTCCAAAAGCATGCACCAAAATAAATGGCATCTCCATCCTTCCAATGGCTCACACCAAAATCCTTGCAGCTGAGAAGATGAAAGGTAAATTGAATGGGGGGGGGGGGAAGAAGCCAGATGCGTTTGAATGAGGACAAGGAAATCACTGCAGTAGAAGAATAAGGTAAGTGCCATAAGAATTCTACAGAGTCCTAAAAGTGTTCAAAGACTGAGAATTGTTCATGTGTGGGAGGCTGCTGGAGATAAAAGTCAGCAAAGACTTCAAGGAAGAGGTGATGTTTGAAGAACGAACAGCATCCCTATAGGCAATAGGAACGAGGAGAACATTCCGGATAGAAAAACCATCTTGGCAACAGCACAGAACTGTGACGGGGCCAGGAATGTTCGCCAGCCTAGCACTCTAGGCTCATGGTAACAGGCTCTCTGTATCCTACTGGTCAGAAAAGAATCTAGAAAGGCTGGACTTCGCAATCAGGCAGGCCTGAGTTTGGACACTGGTCCTACCCCTTGATCACTATCCAACCCAGGGTGAGTTACTTGACCACCTTCAGCCTCAGTTTACCCATTTCTGAAATCGATCTAATCATGCATTTTCTGGGATTTTTTTTGAGATATCTGTTCTGTAATAGCTGTTTAATGAAAGGTAGGTATTGTTATTTTGCAGAGATCTTGAATACCAGAATAAAAAATGTGTGTGTGTGTGCGTGTGTGTGTGTGTGTGTGTTGGGTTTTTTGTTTTGTTTTGTTTTTTAGTGAGCTAAAGGAAGATTTCACAAGGTAACTGCAGTTGGAATAATTGCCAGCAGTATAAAGTGGGGAGAGGAGTGAAAGAGGAAGGAGGCAGGAGGGAAGTTAGGAAGCTGTTTTGTAGTCAATCGGGTAATCAGTAAACCTCAGAGTCATCACTACTTCAAAGTCAATCAATGATTTCAAAGTTTTATCTTTGAGTTTTCAGAATATACAGATCTTGTTTATTTTCTTCCCATTGGATTTTTCTGCCAATAGGTAAAAGGAAAATCAGCTGGAACTTCAACCAATGTTACCATAAGCAAAAGAAGAACTTACATATTTGGGGTTAATATGTGAAGGTAAGCATCTTTCAAAGATTGGATGGAGCAGGCGAAAAGTAACAACTTGAATTTAATATTTCACGGAGAGTATATGTTCCAATAATTCTTAACTTCCTTTTGTTCCGAATGATACAGCTGAGTCATTACAGTGTTCTAAGAACTTCTATGTATACACTTTTCTCTCAGTTAATTTAAAAAGGCAGTAGGGCAGGGCTCATTCAGAGTCAGATTTGCCACTGACCTGCCCCATTGGACTTTGGGCAAGTCATTTGATTTTCCTGAACAACAGACTCCACATCTGTAATTTTGGAAAGGTAATTTATTTCCTGCCTTGTTCTCAGGGTTGTTGTAAGGATCAAATGAAGTAACTGATTAAAAATGCTTATATTTTATAAGCCACAAATGCAAAGGATTATTATTAACAAAGGCAAATCTGCATCCATTTCAATTAAGCACAATCATCAGAAACTTCATTTGAAATGTTCCTGTTTTGTTTTCTTCCCTGTCTTTTGAAGATCTGCTTGGTTTATCTTTAGGTTGGTGCACATTTTACTTCCCTAGTTGACCACAGTTAATGTCCCAGTTTTGGTGAAATTTCCAAAGTATAACTTCAAACTAAGTAGGCATTTCATCATTTTGAATTTGTGTTGTCTGCCTTCCCCTGCGTTTTGGGATAAGTATGGAAGGGTTTGGATTGAGACTTTGGTTATTTCACTAAGGGCAATTTTGGAAGAGGAAAGGTTATTTTTCAGTCATTTAATAAAACAACTTCTTGTACAGCAAATTCTCTCTCATTAAGGGCTGTGCTGTAGACTCCAGGGATGATTTAAGAGGCTGAGTCAGCATCTTTATCTTGTGATGCATTGGAAGATGTGTTAGTTCCCCTCGGGTGAAAGAAGGGAAATTGAAAATAAAATCTTATTGCCCCCTTTTTGGTTAATTTCCTAGTTAATTTCCTTTTTGTTTTTTGCCAAAAAAATGAAGCAGTTACTTCTGAAATATAGACACACAGATGAGAAAATGTGCGTAATTACTTAATAAGAGGGGAGACTTGCATAATTAAACGGAAATTCAATGCATTTTAAGGAAAGAGAAAGCATTCCAACTAAGTTTCTGGCAGATAATAATGAGGGAGAAAAATTAAAAACATTTGAGGCTCTGAAGTCACACTTCTGTTGATACATATGGCGTTAATGGATTTTGAGCTCCTCTGCCTCCTGGTAAGCAGATGGTTTGATACTTGTTCTAAAACTAGAGGTTAGATGGCTTGGTGGAAAAAAGCAATGACCTTTCAGCTCAAGTTTAGTTTTTTGGACCTACTGATTTGTGGATTTTACGGAGCCAAAGAATGAAGACAACAAACTTTTCAAACACATATTCTCATGCTTAGCACTCTAAGATACCTAAACACTGACTGAGCTTGGTAAATAAGTCACACACAGTTGATCCCCTCCTCCTGGCTGAAGCTAAATTTTATAACAGCTGCTTTTCTTATCTTATCCTGGGCAAAAGGTTAAATCAGAGAATTGTTATCTCTCGTTGGATTACCTGCTCAAGTACATAAGATACAAACAATAATAAGACCCTAAAAATATGTACTGGTTCCTTGATAGGTTAACTAAAAAGTAATATTCCTGTAAGTAATTATGCTGCCATGGGACTATAGTAGTAAGCTTCCCCCTTACCTCCCACCACACACACATATTTTATTAGAAAAATACTGGGCTCATTCCAAATCCTAACTGACTTAATTTAAAACTGTATTTTCTATACAGTGATCACATATATATATTTTTTCTTTTTTTTTTTAAGTTAACTATTGTACCCTCCGCTCATACATTTTATGAATGGAAACGGCACTTCTAATTAATAAGCATAACATGCTTGTAAAAGAAGCTTAAACAGCAGTGACCCTCTGGGAAACAAATGTGGCCATCTTACTACTTTCTAGCAGTAGCCTGTTTAGAAAAGATCCAAGAAAATTTCAGATCTCTGCATTCAAGACTTGTGGCTGGAAGATGAAATGTACGGTGGAAGTCAAGGAGGAGGAGGAGCTGAACCTTTCCTTTTGGTCTGACGGAGGCGCTAGGAGCAAACTAAGGGGACAGGATGCACTGGATAGAGCCTAGAGAATTATGTCAGTAAACACATTCACACTCAGGGTCCCTGGGTGCCAGGATGCCAGGGCTCCTTCAACACCAAACACAATATTTGAGAGACAACTCCATCTAAAGAAGGAACTCTCGCCTTCTTTACTGTTTAGTGTTTACAGAACACCCTGGAGAAAATATGTAATACAGTAATTGATTGAATAAAATTATTTGAATCAGAAGATTGGATGGGTATAATGTATTATGAGGGAAACAGCATGTGCAGTATAATTTAGTGTGTGTGTGTGTGTGGAAAATAATTCTCTAAATGTACATAAGAAAGACTACAATGAGGCATTCAAACAAACAGTGAGGAGAGAATACAGATGATTTTCATTTTCTTTTGAATTACTATGTATTTTCAAACAATCATATATTACTTTTAGAAGAAGAAAAATGTTTTTAAAAATGACTTATGGGAAGAAAACTTCAAGTTATGAAAGTAATTCTTACTTAGACTAGTAAATCTCTAGACTTAAGGAAATAGAAAGCAATTAAAATATAGACATAAAGAACACAGAATTTGTATTTCCTTTCATACTCTGGAACAATGCATATTTGAGAAGTGAAATATTTAGCTAGGTTAGGCTGTATATATTCAAAGAATCCTATAATATAGAGTTACTAACTGAAGAGGATTACACTAAACAAAAACCCAATTCATATGAATATCATCTTATATAAAAATAACTTAGTTTTAAAAAATAATAATTTGTCCTTGTCTCTTTGAAAACTCAGAATTTGAACTGAGAAATATTACCATTAATAACTAGAATATACTGAGACCAAAAGCCATCAGAAACCACAAGGATTAAAGAAAATTGTAATGTGAGGTGATGGAGAAGATATTGGGAAACAGGTTCTCACACATGGTACTGTTGGTAATATATCTTTACCACTAAAGAGCTACCTGGCAATACTCATAAAAAAATCTTAACATTGCATTTCCATTTCTAGAAACTTAGCCTGCAGATTATATAAGAATATGAGCAAACCAATAGGGATCCTGATAGCAACGTTGTCTAGAACAGTGAGAAGTTAGAATTAGCTTAAATGTCTCATAAAAGACTTTTTTTTTTTTTTTTTTTTTTGCTTTCATTCTTGGTCAAGTAATAGTAAGCAATTCAGTAGTATATCATACAGCCATTAGTAAGAGTTTGTGCATGAGTGTATCTAATAAACACAATGCTGGACAATATAAGCCAGACACAAAAGAGTATGTATGTCATTTATACCTAGTTCAAATGAGGCAAAAATAACTAGTGCTTACTTTTTACAGTGCCTCACAACTTCAGGTGGGCGCAGGCATTCTATCGATGCTGATTTCTTGGTCTCAGACTGATCCATGAGGACGTTCACTTCATGAATGTTCACCAAACTGCACCTCTGATTGTTTACTTCTCTGCATGTCAGTCAGTGTTCAGTAACATTTATCAGAAGAAAGTTGACAAGAAGTATTAATAGCACATAAAAAGCTCAGCTTCTATTACTGATATAAAAACATTAGAAAAATCCTTTCCTGGCTTAAAGGATTTTATAGAGAAATAAATGGATGGATGTTTATTTACCACATAGCATTGGTGAATATCTCTGAGTGACAGGTTTAAGAGGTGATTTTAATGTTAATGTTTTAAGTTTTAACATATTCTTAAATTGTTAAAGTACATGCATAGTTTGCACAAAACGTCATAATAACATCATTATAAAAATGAGGAAAGTGTGTGTAAGTTTGTTAAAACCGAGAGCAAAGTTAACAAGAATAGGCAGATAATAGGACCTAAAGAGCTGCTAAGATCAGTTACAATTTAGGAACCTGGCATTTTACAAAGCCTTTATTCAGAAAGAGAACACTTTCATTCTGAAAGCACATGACATGTGGCTTCAAAATGATGGTAGGATGTTAAAATTCTAAAGAGTATATAATAACTGACTCTGCCCCACTAATTTGTTAGGTGATACAAAGCAGTCTGGGTCTCAGTTGTCCTGTCTGTAAAATGGGTTTAATGATACCTTGTCTGCATTTTCCCAGGGGCATTTTCAGAATAAGTGATATAAAGATATATCAAGAGCTTTGAACTTTTCAGAGATGTTGGTTCAAGGCATTATTACAAGGGGAGTTAATGAAAAAAATATGGGGTTTGATGCACTTGAAAACTTTGTGAGTTGTGTGAAACTATACCTTTAGGAAGCACCTGTATTTGAGAAAGATTTTAGGATAATACCATATTAAAACTTCTATACAAGAACATTTTTATAAAGAAAAATAAAATGAATAGAAATTGAACTGTTTTCAGCTTGAGAAAAGTAGAACACTTTTACAGATCCAAATTATTTGAAAAATTGGATGATAACACTAATTCTATAATTCTTGTAATCAAGTGCTATTTCCTACTAGAGAGAGATAAAGATGAATCCTTTACCCCAGAAAAAACATTTGCCTCAGCTCCTGTTGGAATCTTGTACACCTCCTTCTTGCCAGTTGTCTTTAATTTCAGATCCATGGTCTTCTAGGATTGATTAGACAAATGCTAAAGAGCTGACAGCTAAAATAGTCTGAAGCCTAGAAATGTCCCTTTCCACCCTGACTCCTAACCCTACTCCATTCTATGGTCTTTATTTCATTACCTTAGGGGCTCGGTGCTGATATGCATTTAATATTTTACAATGAGATCTATTTTGGGCTGCTGCTTTTATTTGCGAAATAATGTATCATTTGCCCATATCCACTTTGTCCAGAGGGCAAAGCCATGTCCATGGCATTCATTCAATCTAGTGGTCCATTGAAATGAATTTCGTTGAATGGTTATAATAACTCCAGCAAATGTATCCCTTCAGCATTCTCTAGAGCAGTGACTCCAAAGTGT